TTTTTTTTAATAGCAACGTTCAAAAACTTAATTGGTGCAACGTTAACATTTAAATGTTTTAATTTCATTTTAATTTCTTTTAATTAATTGATTCTCTCCAGCTCTATAAATAGGGAGTTCCTCCTCCATTCCAAGACACACCAAATTCAATCTTCTCATTCTTCTCTTTTCTGAATTTCATTCTTTAGCTTTTTCTCTCTTCTAAAAATATTCTGGGTTATCCTTATACTCTCTTTAGAGTTCCTTGCTAGTTCTGAGATCCTCAGACATTCTGAGAAGTTCCTGTTGTATCCTGGGGGACTTGCGCAACACACCGCGGATAAGTCCTTAAGGACAGTGACTCTACACGCCTCAGGAAATACTTTTTGTGTCAGCTTTTCCAACAGTTGGAACCAGTTATGAATAAAAGAGGGAACGATATCTCTATTCTATTCTTGATCAAATCCGTGGCAACTGACATGTCAAAGTTTACTTGTTTTCTCCTAAGTCTTGCATTTCGAAACAAACAAAAATCAAGAGTTGCAAGTTTCATGTGGGAAAGAAAAGCAGCGACAATCATGAGGATTGGATTTGGTATTACGTGTGCTGTAATATGCGGCTTCACAGCATGGCAAGTGGAGATTCGCAGGTTGTCGTCAAAGTTGAATACAACAGTGGCTTTGGTTCCGCAATTTGTGTTACTAGGAGTGACAGAGGGACTTGTTGATGGGGGATTAAAGAGATTATTCGATGACCATGTAGCGAAATCGTTGTCGAATTTTGAGGATTCGTTTAGTGAGTTGGTGGTTGGTGGTGGAAAACTTCTGATTATACCAATTGTGTTGATTTTCAGCGGGTGGATCAAAGAAACAATCGACACTAGCCATTTGGACAGGTACTATCTGATGCTGGCGATAATGAACGCTATGTTGCTTCTAGCTTTTGCATACTACTCCGTGAGGTATGCATACAAGGAAGTGTGTCCCGAAGATGAGAAGATTCCGATAGAGGAAGGAGTGGATCATGCTCATCAACCAGACTCAGAAGACACCTATCAGAAAAATACTCCCCCATTTCCATAACAAGTATAGTGTTCAGGAAAAATTTTCTTAAAATAAAGGTTACTTTTTGTTTTCTAATGTAATATTAGTTACCAAGTGAATGTTAACTTTATTGAAAATGTCATCGACCAAAACACCTTATTCATCTCTGTCCACATGGGAATCAAAATACACAAATCAATTGTTGATGATTAAATCCTGAATACAAGATTAGGAAAAATATTTCAGTTGTATCATTGTCATCTTGGACATTCCTCATTTCTTGTTGTAAAACTTTTACTTCATTATTTGTTTAAAGATTTGAATTTGAATATGCATAATCTGGTTGTGAGGTTTGTGAATTGGAAAAATGCAGAAAGTGTTTTATTTCTTCCTACTTAACTCTCTTTATCTTGTTCATACTGATATGGGAGGTCCTCTAATGTTCCAAATACTTAGGAGCTAAATGTTGGAAATCTTAAGTTAGTTATGTTGTTATGAAATTTGTGGCACTGATTAAAATTCAATTCAGGGTGTTGTCAAAAAAGTTAGGTATGATAATGCTAAAGATTATTTTACACATTAGACTTTTTTTCTTTTTCAAAATGATAGGATAATTCATGAATTCTCATATGCCTATACATCCTAACAAAATGTAGTTGCTGAATAAAAAAAANTGAATGTTAACTTTATTGAAAATGTCATCGACCAAAACACCTTATTCATCTCTGTCCACATGGGAATCAAAATACACAAATCAATTGTTGATGATTGAATCCTGAATACAAGATTAGGAAAAATATTTCAGTTGTATCATTGTCATCTTATTGTAAAAATTTTACTTCATTATTTGTTTAAAGATTTGAATTTGAATATGCATAATCTGGTTGTCAGGTTTGTGAATTGGAAAAATGCAGAAAGTGTTTTATTTCTTCCTACTTAACTCTCTTTATCTTGTTCGTACTGATATGGGAGGTCCTCTAATGTTCCAAATACTTAGGAGCTAAATGTTGGAAATCTTAAGTTAGTTATGTTGTTATGAAATTTGTGGCACTGATTAAAATTCAATTCAGGGTGTTGTCAAAAAAGTTAGGTATGATAATGCTAAAGATTATTTTACACATTAGACTTTTTTTCTTTTTCAAAATGATAGGATAATTCATGAATTCTCATATGCCTATACATCCTAACAAAATGTAGTTGCTGAATAAAAAAAATGAACATTTAGAACAAACAAGAGCATTACTCTTTCAAAACAAAGTTCAAAAAGATTCTGGGGAAGTCATTCTCACCTACACTTATTTATATAACAATAGTTACCCTTTACTGTTTTACAATTACAAAGTTCAATGGAGATACTTCATTCTTTTCAACCGCATATAAATCATTCTTAACAAAAGAGAAAACTTGATCCGTGGTCATTTAAATATATTTTCTTAGGTACTTTGTCAGTCAAAAACTTGAAATTTATGTCAAACTCATATCGTTTGATGTAAATGTTGAATTTTGCATTATATTAAAAATAGTCTTATGTAAACAAGTTTAACCCATTTAAAAAAATAACACTACATTTTTTTTTTGACATTTTTCTCAGAGTTTGATTTAAATTGTGTGACGTGAAAGATTAGTTTTACACTATTGGGCTAATCATTTTTTTTTCCTTTGATATGGAGTTGTATTTCATATGTAACAAATATATTAAATTATAAAATGACCATTTGTAAATTTTATACTAACCATTTCGTAAAAAATTACATGAGAATTAAAAAATTATAACTAGTTTCCATTATTATTTTGAAGCAATGAAGTGAACTTATACTTCCATTGCAGTATAGATCACATATATAAATATATAATAGATAAAAAGTTTCATTGCGATTTATCTCAACCCATTATATCGTCAGCCATTTCATTCTGTTCATTCCTACAACTAATGCAGACAGAATCTTCCTATAACGTAGGAAGTAATTTTCAAAGACAAAATACACTTTTAGAATGTAAAAATAGCATATTTGAAGCCCCATCTTTCTCTTTGTTTTTTGTAATACAATTTTTTTGTGTTTTTTTATAATACAATTTACTGTTTATTTTTAAAATATATCGTTCTACGTATATAATAAACATAACTTGTTTTTGACGTCATAGCTACATAAACAACTTTCTTTTAAAATTAGTTATACAAAAATATGTTAAAGTCACTGTCTCTGTTTTATATACTTTTTTTCTATCCTTATAACATTTTCTTTTGCAATGATATAATGCATTGCTTTTACTTTGTGAGACGACTTTTGAAATTGTGGTGAGATTCTCACCATGTGGACATATAATACTTTTTTCATTTAAATGTGTGTCCGAGATAGTGTTGAAAAGAAGTGCTTATCGAGCTTTTTGTATACCACACTTTATGATGCTTAAAGTTACAATAATGCATGTTGCACATTGTCTAGCTAAGCAAATAATTATATTAAAAATTGACTTACTGTTAGGTCTTCGCATCTATCACCTCTATATAAAACAAATATTTAATATTTATTTTCTCTCTTATGTCTCGTTTCTGTCTCTCTTTTTTTTCTCATTGTTCTATGTATTTTTCATCACATCATTTATTTATTACATTCTGCTCTTCTCTGTCTCAGTCTTCTTAGTACTATTAGTACATATTTTTGTGGAAAACCAAACGTCACCAAAACCATCCAAAACCCTTTTTCGAGGAACTTCCATTGTTGTTGTTTCAAAGAAGAGAAGAACTTTTCAGTGCTTTTGCTTCTTCTTTTACTCTCCGTCCCAACGCTATTCTTCTGTTAATAATAGAATTCAGTGTTGTCACTTTGAATTCTATGCTTCTGTTATTAAATTAGTTTAACTGAGTGTTCTGTTTTTCCTCAAACATCACCATGGCGCGGCAAGAAAAGTCGTCTACTTTTGAGAAGAAAATTTTGTCATTAAAAGCTCGAATTCGTTATCTAATCCGCCGCTATGGGGCCCTGACTTTCATTGCTGGTAATTTTAACCAATTGTGCTGTTTTGTTTATGGAAAGTAGAATTCAACATTAACTCTTTCTTCCTAATTTATTTTCAGCATTGCTTGTAAGTTACAAATTTATGGAGATCACGGTGTTGTCAATAATGATGGAATATCTCACAGAGATACTTAAAATGCAGAATCAACGGGTAGCTGCTATTGTCATAAATCTTGGAGATGCTTTATCATCTCTCTTTTTCGTTGTTGTTTCTCTAATCTCGCAAACGTACACGGGTTCTTTCACTATGATCACATTGTGCGCTGCAGCTTCCATCGAGGTACATAAATTCTCAGTTCTGTATTATTGTTAGAATGAGGAGATAAAAGAAATTTAGTAGGGCGGGTAACGGTATATTAAAAATATAGTTTTGGAGATGGCTCGTACCTGGATAAATTTATATTAATTTTTTTATGTGGTAATAAGTGGTATTTGCTTATTTATAATCTTAATCTATCATTTCTACAACTCTTTTTGATAATTTTGGTTTTTTTAATCTTTAGAATTATCTATACTTTTAGACACAAGATATATCTATTGTTTTCAAATCTAGTATAATATCTTAATTTCTAAAATTTACTTTTTCTTGTAATCTTCAGAGATTCATATCAAGACACTTCCCTTAGTGTAAATTTCAGCAACTCCAAACGTAAATTGTAAATGGTCAAATTGGACTTTTGGCAGTGTCCTTTTGCTATCTTTTGTCTCATAGCACTCAAGTTCAATTATTTTTATTGATTTTGTACTTTTTGGTAAATTGCGATAATTTTATTGGACTTTTGACAGTGTCCTTTTGCTATCTTTTGTCTCATAGCACTCAAGTTCAATTATTTTTTTTGATTTTGTACTTTTTGGTAAATTGCGATAATTCTTTAATTATTGATTACTTTTTATTGACGGAATAAAAAACTCTAATTTATAAATAATTTTTATCGATAAATTTTAAAATTTAAATTACCAACAAATACTTTAATGTAGACAATGAATTAGTATGTTATATCAATCTCAAATTAGAATTTCTAGTATCAATGGATATTTCTGTGTAATGTACATTATGATCAATTTTTTCGTAAATTTTATTAGTAATTTAAAATTTCAAAGAAAATTTTTCATTGGTCATTCGTCAAGTATTATGAGATTATTTTATATATTAAAGCGAGATGCGTGAAAAGAAGAAAAAAAAATAAGAGAAGGAGAAAGAAGAGGAAGAGAAAGAGGAGAAGGAGAAGGAGAAGGTGTGACTTCAGTGGAGACACATTGGGGGTGGAGGTGCAACACAACGTGATGCAATAATGACAATGGTATGGCACTGGTGGTAGCGCAACAATATGGTGACACGATAGAGATTCGATAGTGATGGCGGTCGGAGTTGAAAAGGTGGGGTGGTAGGAAGAGAAAGAGAAGGAAGAGGAGGAGAAAGAGGAGGGAACTAAAGGCGATGATGACAAATATGTCAATGACAACGACGTGGAGGCATGATAAGAAAGAGACAATGAGGATGAGGAGTAGAGGAGGAAAAAGATAGAAAAGAAGAAAAAAAATGAAACATAACAAGAATAAAAAGATACAAATGAAACATTTGCCGAAAATTTTTACCAACGACTAGAAACCATCAATAATTACTAACTAATATTTATTGATGAATTTGTGATCACCGGTAATTATCGACAGATTTTAAGAGCCATTAGTAAAATTTATTGACAATCATTTTACTCATGAATTTTTGGTTGTTGTTGAAGGTGTGGGGAAAACACTAGATGGGGTTTGAATAATGTTTTCATACTTTTTTCGCAACCTGCTAGATAATCATGATGTTCTTAACACTTAGTGAGCTGATTGAACTTTAGACAACAAACGTTATTCCATAAAGATTGTTTGCTTAGCCAACTCAACGTATCAGAGTTAAAATATGGCAGTAACCTTAAATGAAGTGACACACAACCTTAAATGAAGTGACACACATTGTCAGAGAGAGCGCATAGGAGAAGTTAACTAGACTACATCGTTTATCAACAAAACAAAACATATAAAATATATACTGGTTTACCTGTTAGAGCTACGTCGAGTTCTCCTTTAAGTTAACTTAGAGGATTTCATTAGATATTCAATGAAGTACATTAGAGTTTAACTCACTCCTGATTGCGTAGTATTATTCACCACTCCTGGATTCCCTAGACGCTCTCAATACAATTGAGAAACATTGTCTAGTTTAGTTTCTTCTACTTCTGATTGCGTAGTATTGTTCACCACTCTTAGTATCCCTAATCAGCGAATAACCTCTAGTTACCCTATATCAGTTGAATATTCACACTACTCCTGGTACTCAGCTACCTTGCTAATATTTCTTTGAGTATTCACACCACTCCTGATACTCACCAACCCTGCTGAGATTTCCTTGAGTATTCGCACTACTCTTGGTACTCAACAACCCTGCCAAGATTTCCTCGAGTTAGCTCACTCTTGGTTGTGTATTATTCTTAACCACTCTTTGAATCCTTGATCAATGAATAAAATTTAGTTACCCTAGATCAGTTGATTATTCGCACCATTCCTAGTGCTCAATAACCCTACCGAAATTTCCTTGAGTTCCACCCACTCCTGGTTGTGTAGTATTTTTCACCACTCCTAGTATCCCTGATCAACGAATAACCTTTAGTTACCCTAGATCAGTTGTGTATTCTGACCACTCCTAGTACTAGACGAGCTCGCCTAGATTTCCCCAACTTCTCTAATTTAAGTTGTAACTGTTTTGATTCTCTCCAAAATTGCAATCATAGATTGCTTACAAATCGTTCAGACCTCAACTCTCACAGAGAGGATATTCTACAATACAAAGAAGTCTAAACACTCACAGGTGTTTCTCTCATCTCTCTTTTTCTCTCCTTACATAAGTAAGCATATAATACAATGAAGTACTAGAGGCATACTTTACTTTGCTCTTTCTCTCATTATCTCTTATTACAAGCACAAGAAAATATTACAATGAAGCTTGAGAGATTTTCTTCTATATGTCACTCTTTCACTCTTTTTTCTTTAAGTGGATATTCTGCTGAAGTTTGAGAGTGTTCTTCTTTTTTTGAGCTCTTCTCTTTCTCCTTTTTCTTAATAGTATGAATTTAGCATTAATAGCTTAAAGACATTTCCTCACTGCATGGATGATGAGATATCTTTATATATATCTTCACATTTTTTCTCCTCTTCATCATCATTTTTTTTTTTCTTTTTGTCGTCTATTTATACACCTTGTTCATATAGTTGTTAAGACAATGCTTGTCTTGATTTGATAATATGACCATGTTTACAAAGCTTGTCTTGAGATTTGTTGTCTTCTGGCTATTGGTGTAGGTGCATCCATAGGATGGTGCAGACTTGTTTTTCAAATCTTTTTATCAAAAGTAGTCTTGTCTTATCTATTTAGCACAACTTTTGATAATCTGATTAATGCTTTTTTTGTCTTTTTCTCAACGTTCATTTTGATGTATATGAACATTTGTAGTGATTGTTCGACACAAGATAGATAAGTATATAACAAGTATGTTTACTTCTTTTTAATTAATCTTTTAAGTCTTTTAATTATTTGTTTAAGTTTCGTAATGTTTTTGTGTCTACTAGATTTCTTGTTTTTGATTAATGGTTTTGTGATTTGTTTTGACATGGTAATTATGTCTCGGTTTTTTAGAGGAAGAACATTCCGTGAATATCTTTCTTATTACCTACTATTGATCTGATCGAATTTTGGTGTGCGATCAGTTCATCAGATATCCTATTTGTTGTTTTTGAACATTAAGCACTAAATGACATTTAATGCTTGCTCAGATCAACAAAGTTCTTTTTCATTTCCTATCGTTAGGTAGCATTTTACGATTAAGCTATTTTCTGAAGATACTAAGCGTATCAAGATACTTCATCGTTAGACGAGGTACTTGATAAGCTCATGGTATCGTTTAGTTAAGTAAACAATTCTTTTGGTTTTGTCTCTTTTTAGATAGATAACATTTAGCTTGTTTAAGCTTTCTTTAATGTTTTGATTTTTATGTCTTTTAAGATATTTTGTCAAAGACATCGTCTCGACCTGTTATGTTTTCGAGAGCTATGTTGAAGACCTTTTTTAGGTATGATCAGCATCAGGTGTTTAGCTTCAACTCTCTTAGAAGCTTTAGACACAACATCATTTAGTCATGCGTCTAGGTGTTTTAACCTAAATGATTTTCTATTTGCTAAGAACTTAAGTGTTTTCTTAAGGTTTTCTATGTTGGGAATTTTGGTTCTAGGTTTTGTGTGTTTGGGGTTTAGGCTCTTAGTCTTTTGTTTCCACCCTTAGTTATTTGTCTTCGGCTAGTGTGTCAAGCTTTTCTTCTGATTTCCTTAGCCAGTTTTTCTATGTTCAATCCTTTTTCCTAGACGATCATCTGCATCTTTTGGGTATGTTGTTTCTAGCTTAGAGTTTTGTTCTAGTATTTCAGGCCTTTTGTTTTCTCTCTAGTTTTTCTCTATTCAGTTTTTCTAATTTAATGCATTCTATCCTAGGATTGGTCTTAGGGTTTTTTCCTTGTGTTTGGTTTTCAATGTTCTTTCTTAGTGTTTGATGTTTGTTTCCTATCTTGAGGTTGGTTTTCTAACTTGGGGCTTTCTATCCTAGTATGTTTGATGTTTGTTTTCTATCTTAAGGTTCATCAGCTTGGAGTTTTCTATCCTAGTGTGTTGGAGATGTTTATTTTCTATCTTAGTGCGTCTGACCTAGTTGGTTTGCTAAGTGTTCTTCTGGTTTAGAGTTAGCTTTCCATACACAAAGACTTCTTTGTTAGTTTTCCACACATAGAGACTTCTTCGTTTCATGTTATTTAGTTAGACTTCCAAACCAAGGTTTTATTAGACGAGTTTTTCTTGTAGTGAGCTTATCGTATCCTGANAGCTCACTCTTGGTTGTGTATTATTCTTAACCACTCTTTGAATCCTTGATCAATGAATAAAATTTAGTTACCCTAGATCAGTTGATTATTCGCACCATTCCTAGTGCTCAATAACCCTACCGAAATTTCCTTGAGTTCCACCCACTCCTGGTTGTGTAGTATTTTTCACCACTCCTAGTATCCCTGATCAACGAATAACCTTTAGTTACCCTAGATCAGTTGTGTATTCTGACCACTCCTAGTACTAGACGAGCTCGCCTAGATTTCCCCAACTTCTCTAATTTAAGTTGTAACTGTTTTGATTCTCTCCAAAATTGCAATCATAGATTGCTTACAAATCGTTCAGACCTCAACTCTCACAGAGAGGATATTCTACAATACAAAGAAGTCTAAACACTCACAGGTGTTTCTCTCATCTCTCTTTTTCT